TGTAAGAGGGCAACGTAGTGTGTGTGTGTGTGTGTGTGTGTGTGTGTGTGTGTGTGTAAATATCCTGAAATCTAGCAGAAAACACTATCTCAAGTACTGTTTTAACCTCAGGGTCATTTCTATTTGATGTGCTTGGCCTCCAACTTAGTCAGTATGTGTAATTTATTAAATGCAAAGTCGCTAAGAAAAAAGTTTGATTGTTTGGGGCAGTGGAAGTTGCAACTTGTAGAAACTTGAAAGAAGGCAAATCTGAACAAATTTCATGGTTGGAGAATGTTGCCATGACAACAGCCTTTAAAAGTGTTCTGCCCTTTAAAGGTATGTATGTATAAATATGAAGAAATACTAATGGGAAATAGTCCTTTCTAGAACAGAAAATATTTATCAGCTCTAAAAGAGAAATTGTTATGTTTCTTGTGCTATAGTGTGAAAGTGGAACCATAAAATGTTACCTAATTTCTTGCAGATGATTAAGCAGTAAATAATGGTATTCTTCTATCATTTTATAGTGGGTGGTAGTTCTGAGCTACCATTTAGCAGATTTCCTTTCTGTCATAATTGCCATTTCCTATTCTCCAACACAGTCAGGAGCTAGTGTCTACTTTAGAGTTCGTGTGTCTGAGCCTCTGGAATGAGCAATGGCTACGTTGTCTTTTAATGAATCTGTGCTGAGTAGAGATGCCTCATTAGCAGTTGTATTAGAAGTGGAGTCAGCTAGAAGGGAGAAAACCATTTTGAATGGCAAATCTCACCAATAAGTGTTGTTATAACTGTTTTTATCTCCTGCAAACACCAGGAAATAGACTATCCCATTATTTTTCCCAGTTTTGAGACTTGGATTTTTGAATAACAACTGAGATCAAAAGTTGCCTGTAACTCCAAAAAAACCTGGGGTGAGATTTGTGGATGGATAACCGGGTAGGTTTATGCTTCCAGTTTTACAGTGGGGATGTAGGGGAGGAGTGGGTGAGTGCCACTTATAGGAAAATAATTTTGACATTGGCTGTATTTGTTCAGGAGTTTTCAATTGAAAAGGCCCTATAGGACCTACAGTTGCAGGCTTTTAAACTAGTAATCAGATAAATTTTACTAGCCAATACCTAAAAACGATGGCTTGACAGAAGAAAGCTGGTAGGTTCCTGCTGTAGATCAGCGGAGATTTGGGGGGTTTGTGATACCCTCTGAATAGATCTGGTGCTCATTGTTTGGAACTTTTGTTGAGAAATAAGCTTTTTATGTTTGCTTTCTGGTCAATAATTATAAGAATGTTTCATTAATTTCTTCTTTAAAATAGAAAATCATTTATTCTATTTTTTGTGTTTCTCTTACAGTGTAAAAGATGTGGTTGCAAGTTGTAGAAGAGATTTTTCTGTGGAACATACTTCTGTAAACCTTCCCTAAAATCCCCAGAAGGCATATACTGCACCTGTGATGGACCCTCAGAATACTGCTATGTTAGGGTTGGGTTCTGATTCCGAAGGTTTTTCTGGGAAAAGCCCCTCTGCGGTCAACACTGACATAGTGATAGGCAAGAGAGAAGTAGATCTAGAGAGTAGCACCAAGGAGGAAGAAGATATTAAGAAGAAGAACTGGGAGGGGAGCACCATTGAGACTGGGAAGAATGAGGGTCTGACTGATGCACAGCAACAGTTTTCAGTGAAAGAAACAAATTTTTCAGAGGGAAATTTAAAATTGAAAATTGGTCTTCAAGCTAAGAGAACTAAAAAGCCCCCTAAGAACCTGGAGAATTATGTGTGCCGGCCTGCCATAAAAACCACTATCAAGCAACCAAGAAAGGCATCAAAGAGTGGGAAGATGACAGATGAGAAGAATGAACTTTGTCCTTCAAAACAAGTGAGTAGTGTTCATATACTATTAAATGCTTCCCAACTCCTAGATTATCCTGTGAGGGGTTGTATGTGCTATTGGCCAAGTTACACCCTTGTAAAAAATACATATCTGAGGAATAGTCTTCATTTTAAAGTCTGGTTATGGTCAGAGAAGTGACATCTCCCCATTTCATATTTAATATCCACTAATAATTTCCAGGTCAAGTCAACTCAAAATTACTAATCTAAACAAAGTTTTTCTGTCTCCAACGCAAGATCATGCGGTATGTTGACTGCTTTGTATATCATTACAAACAATGAAGACTCTGGTCTCAGAATTTAATGGCTATTCTGTTGATGATGATTGACTCAGCAGAGAATTCATTTTGCTCTTCATTAGCTAGTTTGACTTTGTTGTAGTATTTACAGTAGTAAAAACTAGTTTTTGCTGGTATCCTAAGTGGATGTGACCAGAGTAAATAGCAGTACCATTTTTAGTGGTACTCTTGCCTCCATTTACAGTGACAACTGTGTATTTATACCATGCTCATCACTATAGTAACTGGCTTTGTATCCCCTACTAAACAGTTATTTTAATGCTTAGATCCTAGCCATTGATATTGCTGCTACTCATTAGTCAGTGTTTGGAAGGGAAAAAGAACATTGGATCTGATGGAATGAAGACTTACAATGTACTGCTTATAATTCAGTAGCACCCAAAATGTGCTAGGTGTTTTACAAATATGAGAAGACAGCCCCTGCTTCAAGGAACTCTTGTTCTGATAAGATGGGATAAATATGATGAGTGGACAAGGATTGCAAACATAAGTGTGCATGATTACTTACTTATTTTGTAACAAGATGTGTACATAAAAAAGTTTCCAAATATGCATAAAAATTTCCCCAACCAACTAAAATGCTATTCTGGAGCAAAGTGCCCCTTTTCACTGCCTCTCTTCACTACTTATCTAAGGCCATGATTCAGCAGAACATTTGTGTGATTCCCACATTCTGTTGAAGTTTAAAGCTAAACATGTGCTGAAGTACTGTGCTGAGTTGAGGGCCAAGTCTGCGCGCGCCCCCCCCCCAAACCAACCCTCCTTAAATACCCATCTCCCTTTATTACCAACCTCCCTGACTATTACCCTTCTCTTTATACTCCCTCAGCATCCTACCACCATCTACCCTCACTCCACGTGGCAACCCTAGACAATTCATCCTGAGAATATGCCCCACCTCTTCCTGCCAGTCAGCTCCCTTTCTCAATACAAGTCCCCCTATTTTCCACATTGCTGCTGCCGTGGGAAGCTCCCAAGACTGGAGGGTGTTCCATTTCCCTATCCTGTGCCCTCCCCAGCTAAGTCGCATGTATAAACACACAGCCAGCAACATCTGTCAGGCAGAACCCATGCACTGGAGGTGGCAGAATAGAACTCTTTGGTCATGTGGTGTTAAGGACCCGTTTTTCTGCTGGCTGACGCACATACCCTTCCCCATTGAGGAGATTGTCACACTTAAGCACATTCTCAACTTTAAGCATTTGTCCTTGCCCTTAAAGAATAGATACAGTGTAATAACAGTGATGGCTAAAGTCTCCTTCCTTCTCCTCCACACTAAATCATGCAAAGTGTTTCACGTATAAAGCAAAGGCAACATATGTTTTTCTCCACTGTGTTTTGCTGGCCAATGTTCATTTGGTTAATCGGTGTGAACCTATTGCATGTCAGAAATTACTTTGTCTCAAGCATATTAAAAACACCACTGCAAATAGCATAAAACTTGTTTATTTTTTGTCAGACCCCTTTAGGGTGATCAGATGTCCTGATTTTATAGGGACAGTCCTGATTTTTGGGTCTTTTTTTTCTTAGGCTCCTATTACCCCCCCACCCCCTGTCCCAATTTTTCACATTTGCTGTCTGGTCATCCTAGACCCCTTGGATATTCACTGCATGGGAGGAAGCAGGAACAAATTCACACGGATATGTACTTCTGTGAATAATTCCAATATTGCTTATAACAGGACAGATAAAAATGGATGATTTTTTAAAAAATAAACTCAGATATTTTAACTTAAATAAAATAAATTTTTCTTATTTAAAATAAACTTTTTTAAAAATTAAATTTGAAATGATGGCGACTTGTTTTAAGACCTAAATTTACTATACTGTACTATTAACATAAATTTTAAAAAACATGGAAGCTTGAAAAAAATATTCAAGCAATACATGTTTGCTGCTGAAGTTTTAAAGAAAGTCAAACCACTGAACTGGTGGAAGTCACTGAAGTCACCTGGAACCGGAGTCTGTTGAAGAGCTAACCAGCTTTTGACAGCAGTGGCCTTTTATGCAAAATGAAGTCCCAATTTTAGTGTAAAGACTATAATTCATTGCAAATCTACATGGTTTAATGATTACCAATCAATAAGAATCAGCCTTTCATTAGGAAGATAACTAAAAAGTACAGATGCAAAACAAGACTTAAAATTGATGATTTAAAATAAGGTTTCCTGCTTGCTGATTTAAATCAGGATTAAAATATGAGGTTTTAAATCACTTTAATTTGAAGTCAATCTACGCTGGTATATAATTCCCACATTCCTGAACTCTAGTTGCAGATCCAAGACCATGCTGCCGTGCCACTAAAGTTATCACTAAATCCACTGAAAATACATGCCAAGGAAGATGTAAATGAAGAGTATCTATATATGAGTTGTTTGAATAAATTACTTATAGTGCACAGTTATGTTAAGTGCTACGTAGAAAACACAAAACAGGTGCATGCCCCAAAGATCTAAAAGTCTAAGTGATTGATTTGACAGACACGTAGGGATAACATATACCTAGAAGGATACGGATGAGGAAGAATTTGGGTAACAAAGGTAATTCCCAGTTTATCAGTTAAGACAGACTATCTTGATAGTTCCAGATTTTTTTTCATATATATGCAAGCTTCAAGCTTTCATTTTAAAGAAATTTTATATTTATAGACTTTCTGGTTGCAAAAACAGCTACCCAATTGCTAGGGTTACCATATTTCAGCAAGCAAAAAATAGGACGGGAGGAGCCCCGCCCCCGTCCTGCCCTAGCCCCACCCCTATCCCTCCTACTCCCCCCCCCCCTCAGGACCTCCAACCCTCCCCCCGCTCCTTGTCCCCTGACTGCCCCCTCCTGGGACCCCTGCCCCTAACTGCCCCCCAGGACTCCACCCCCTA